CACTCCAGTCTGGGCGACAGAGTGAGACTCCAACTCAAAAAAAAAAAAAAGAAGAAGAACAACCCGTTTTCTGGCCCCCAGGTGGGCTTTATTCTACTAGGTCACAAGACGCTAAGACGAACATCTCCCAAAAAGGGTCTTGTACTTACGTCAATACTTAGGTCACGTACTTAGGCCAGTACTACAGACACAGTGTTAATCATCACTAGAAGAACAACCCATTTTCTGGTCCCCAGGTGGGCTTTATTCTACTCGGTCACAAGACGCTAAGACGAACATCTCCCAAGAAGGGTCTTTCAGCAGCCAGCCCAGCCCCTCTCGTCTAGATGACTGACCCACCCATCCCGAATGGGGTCCCCCTTTGTCTATGTGCCTGTGACTGACCACCCCATCTATCTGGTTGTCAGAGATATGAGAAAACAGACCATCACCTTGAAGTCAGCTATCCTTGTTTTTTCACCCGAGAAGCTTTATAAGTCCCCAACCTCAGTCATTCAGGGCTGATGTCTCCTGTAATGTCTGGCCCTCTCCTCTCTTGGAGAACCAATATACCTTTCTTCTGACTCTCTCCATCTGTGCAATCCCTTGCATATTTGCAACTCTGACTCAGCTCCCCCACCTAAGAGATTCGTCTCTACGTTCTCAGGCCCAACACCCCAGGTCATGCCTCCCCCTCACCCCACTGGAGCTCGGACTCCCCACATCACGTGTCCCCTACACCCCTCCTCCCACAGTGAGAACATCCTCGTCACCCCTTTGGGTTCGGACACCACCGTGACTTCTCACCCTCCCTGACTCCTCAGCCTTGCTCCCTCCCCTCGGATTATTTGGAGAAAATGGAACATGATGTGCAGAGGAAAAGCAAATGCCACGCCCTTTTTTAAAACTTTGTTTATTTTGTTTTATTTTATTTGAGTCAGAGTCTGTCACTCTGTCTCCCAGGCTGGAGTGCAGTGGCACTATCATGGCTACTGCAGCCTCAACCTTCTGGGTTCAGGCAATCCTGCCTCAGCCTCTCAATAGCTGGGATCATGCACTACCACATCTAACCTTTTTTTTTTGAGTGCCGATGTCTCAGTATGTTGCCCAGGCTGGTCTCAAATTCCCAGGCTCCAGCAATCCTCCTGCCTCAGCCTCCCAAAGTGCCAGGATTACAGACGTGAGCCATCGCACCTGGCCCACCAACCCTTAATCGCTTTGCATGTCCACTTCCTGAAGTCCTGGCACACACCCCTGACTCCCTGGGGGGAAGACCCCTGAGACCAGGCGCCCTGTCCTCTCCACCTCACTGCCCAGAGGCCGGGCTTCGGGTGAGTTTTCAGAATGCCCGCCAGAGCATGAGATGAATGGGTGCCCTCTGCCCTAATCCTCGTTTTCAAAACGTACTCTCCAATCCCACTCTGGGGATCAAGAAGTCACAGAGCCTGACACAGGCCCTCCCCACCCATCCTACTGGAGCCAGATGGGGAGGCAGACACGGCTCTGATCCCTCCCCGACCCGGCAGAGATTTCCAACCCAGCTGTCACAGCTGGAAGATCCTGGGGACCCGTGGGAGAGGCCAAGAGAGGCTGGAAGAGGTGGCCAAAGTGCTGGAGAAGATAAGGAGGCTGAGCTCCCGGGGGGAGCAGGAGGGGAGGGCCTTCTTGAGACTGGTGTCCGGGCACCCCGCCCCCTCCATGCAGTTCCCCATGGGCCCCGCCTGCATCTTCTTGAGAAAAGGCATCGCTGAGAAACAGCGGGTGAGGCTGGCGGGGGGGGGGAAACGGGACGATGGAGAAGGGTGGCGGGCAGGGCAAGGGGAAGGAAGGGGTGCCACGGGACAGGGGGAGCAGGCAGAGAGGGCAGGAACTGTGGAGGAGGAAGAATTCCAGGGGCCACGAGGGGGCCGTGGGAGCTGGAGAGAAAAATGAAGAGGGTGAGATCGGAAGTCAGGAACCAAAGTGTGGGATTACAGGCATGAGCCGGACCCTAGGTGGTGCTGGAGTCCTGGTCGTTCGGGAGGCTGAGGCGGAAGGATCGCTGGAGCCCAGGAGTTGGAGGCTGGGGTGTGACAAGACGCTGAAATAAAACAAGAGCTAGGGTGATGTCATTGTGGAACTCATTGTCATTTTTTTCTGTGGACCCTCTTTGTGGTGGTGATGATGGTGATAGCAATAGCTGCCACTAATCAGGTCGTGGCTATGTGCCCAGCTCTGTGCGGAGGGCTTGGCATCCCTGGTGTCATTTATGCCTCAGAGCAACTGGGGTCAGAGATACTTTCATTCCCATTTTACAGATGAGGAAAGTGAGGTTCTGAGTCATGAAGTCCTTTGCCTTAAACGTGCACCATTAGTAAGAGGCAGATCAGGTCTGCTTGATTCCCGTGGGCATGCTTCTAATTGTTAGGCTTTAAGATTACTCAAAAAAAAAAAAAAGAAAGAAAGAAAGAAAAAGAGAGAGAGAAAGGATTGCGAGGTGGGGATAATAAGAAAGAGAAGCTGGAACTGGGCATAGGGGCTCATGCCTGTCATCCCAGCACTTTGGGAGGCCAAGGCGGGAGGATCCCTTGAGCCCAGAAATTCGAGACCAGCCCAGGCAACATAGCAAGACCTTGTCTCTACCAAAAAAATAAATAAATCTAAATATTAACCTGGTGTGGTGGTGTGTGCCTGTAGAGTCCCAGCTACTGAGGAGGTTGAAGCAGAAGGATCACTTGAGCCCAGAAATTCGAGACCGGCCCAAACAATAGAGCGAGAACTTGTATCTAAAAAAAAAAAACCTAAAACTTAGCCAGACATGGTGGTATGTGCCTGTAGTCCCAGGTACTTGGGAGATTGAGGCAGAAGGATTGCTTAAACCCAGGAGTTGCAGGCTGGGGTGTGATGGTCATGCCACCAAACTCCAGTTTGAGTGACAGAGAAGAAAGTGGGATAGGGAGAGAAGGAGAGAGGGAGGGAAGAGAGAGAGAAAGACTTCAAGAATAAAGGGAGGTGAGGTGTGACAGGGGCCAGAGATCAGGAATCCGAGCCCCACCTTCCAGGGGTGTCTGGGAGCAGAGGGGACAACAATGACTGGAAATTCTCAGAGGTGTCAGGAATTGCTCACATTGGCACTGACCACCCTGCCGGGATGCCAGAGGAATTCAAGGATTCTAGAATCCCAAGGATTCTAACCCTTGGGAGGAAGGTTGGAGGTAGGCAGAAATAGTCAATGGGGTGTCGTGGGAGGAATTCTGACTTGGGGGTCGGGAGCCCTGAATTCAAATCCCAGCACTGGGCCTGACTTGGCGCATGACCTCAAGGGAGTCATCTAACTTCCTCCTCCCTGGGGAGGGGATCTGCCGCTGATGAGCTGTGTGATTTGGGTAGGTTCTTCCACCTGTCTGTTTCTCGGCTTCCTCGCGGGTAGCATGGGAATGCTCTTTGGACCTGCGTCACAGAGGTGTTCTGAGGTTGGAAGGAAATGTATAGAAACAGCCTGGTTCAGGGTAAACACTCTGCCAACTATGATTGCAAATCTCACTTCCTTGTCTGGAGGAGGATGAGGCTGGACTCCCTGCTGTTTAAGATGCCTTTCGGCACATTGTGATGGGTGTCAAGAAAGGGAGAAGGTAGGTGATCAGTATTCAAGGACAACCCAGGACGGTGGCTCAGGCCTGTAATCCCAACACTTTGGGAGGCAGAGAGGAGAGGATTGCCTGAGCCCAGGGGTTCGAGACAAGCCTGGGCAACTTGGTGAGACCTCATCTCTACAATAAATCAAAAAATTAGCCAGGCATGGTGCAAGACTGTAGTTCCAGCTACTTGGAAGGCTGAGACAGAAGGATCGCCTGAGCCCAGCAAGTCGAGGCTGCGGTGGCAGTGAGTGTGCCGCTGCCCTCCAGCCTGGGCAACAGAGTGAGACTCCAACTCAAAAAAAAAATCAAGGACAGGAGAGAGGCAGTGAGAGGTGGCGGAGAAGAGGGTGGGAGCCTATAGCTATGGGATGGAGTTGGGGGTCAGAGAAGGAAAAGGGGTGGAGGAGAGGAAGCATGGGAAGAGAGTGGGTGAGGAGTCACTTGGGAGAAGGAGGGAGGGCTGGGTGGGAGAAGTGGGTGTCAGATTCCCAACCCTCTTTCCAAATCCCTCTCCCCTGCATTTCTTTCCAGGAAAGACCACTGGGACAAGATGAGATTGAAGGTAACACCCTCCCCCCAATATTGCCATCCACCATTTAAACTGCCCTCCATCCCTTTGCACTTTTTTTTTTAGTTGGGGGTCTCACTGTCACCCAGGCTGAAGTCCAGTGGCACAATCATGGCTCACTGCAGTCTCAACCTCTTGGACTCAGACAGTCCTCCCACCTCAACCTCCCAAGTCGCTGGGACTACAGGTGCATGCCACCATGCCCAGCTGCATTTTTGTGTGTGTGTGTTTGTGTTTGTTTTTGTTTTTGTAGAGATAGGATCTCGCTATGTTTCCCAGGCTGGTCTCAAACCCCTGGACTCAAACCACTCTCCTGCCTCGGCCTCCAAAAGTGCTGGGATTGCAGGCGTGAGCCACTACACTCAGCTCCGTTATACATTTCTGCTTGATTCCTTTACATGAAATGTTTATCTATCTCTCTCTCTTCCTATTCAACCATAATTTCCTGGAACTCTGTCTCATGGCAGTTTAAGTACCTCCCAAAGTATTTAGGAGGCATATCCATCTCAAGTGTCTCTGAAACTTGGAAGTGAAACATGGGTTTTAGAATATATTGAAAATTGTTGGTTTTTCTGTTGGTGGTTTCAAGGTTCCTCCAAACGTCACCCAAGAATCTGAAGGAATTCAGTGCTCTCATTAAACAGTCTCAGGAATCAAACCTCTTGCTAACCCATTTCGTACATCACTCCTTTTTGAAACTTTTGGATTTTTAAATATGTATTCTCCCTTGAGATGTCTCTAGTTGAAACCACATTGATAGTTTCAAGGAACACCACTCTTCCCCACTAACTGTTTCAAGTTCCTCCGGAGTTCTTCTCTCTTAACTTTCAGAGCTCCGGGAAGCATTCCTTGAGTTTGACAAGGACCGAGATGGGTTCATCTCTTGTAAGGATTTGGGGAATCTCATGAGAACAATGGGTTACATGCCCACGGAGATGGAACTGACGGAACTGGGCCAGCAAATCCGCATGAACTGTAAGGCTGGGACACAGGGAAGATGGCTGGGGTTCTGGAGGGCTCAGGGTGGAGTCGGGAAGGACGTCAAGGTTGAGAGTTGAGCTGGGAATAGAGAGAAGTATAAGAGGGACTAGAAGTCTGGAAAAAAAACAGTTCAGGCTACACTCAGGAAGGCAGCATTTGAAGTGGTTAAAAGGATGGCTTTTACACAAAGGTCTGGGTTTGAGTCCCAATTCTATTATTTACTCGTTGTGGTCATTTTGAAAAGTGAGTTATCCCCTATTCTTGAGTCCCAGTTTCCTCCTGTATCGAGTGAAGACACTTCTGTCCTTACCTCATTGGACTGTGGAAAGGAAGGGGTAAAGATGCAAAGGCAGGTAAAGGCATAGCCTCCAGTAGATTCTTACTAAAGGTAGTCATTATCGCCATTAAGATTCATCAATGGACCACAATATTGGAGCTGAATTGAATACTGGGAACAAATGTGGGGCCAGAACTAATGTTGGTGAACACTCTAGCAAAAAGGAAGGATTTTTGGATGGAGAACAGAGTTGATTTTGAGATGGAAGCTGCGATAAAATTGCTATTGGGTTTGCTTCTGGACACGTCACTGAGCAAACAAGGTTGAATGCAAGGCAAAGATAGTATTCTTATCTGAAAAAGACTTGGGTGCTCATTTAATTCATACTCCTCCATCTCCAGGTCTACAGGTGAGAGAGTACAGGTCTTAACCCATAAGGAGATTTGCCGAAGTTCATACAGTTAGTACCTTCCACCATGCACACCCTATCAACTCCTGTTAAAATTAGAGGGCTGGCCGGGCATGGTGGCTCAAGCCTGTAATCCCAGCACTGTGGGAGGCCGAGATGAGGGGATTGCCTGAGCCCATGGGTTCGAGACCAGCCTGGGCAACTTGGCGAGATCCCATCTCTACAATAAATCGAAAAATTAGCCGGGAGTGGTAGCGTGCACCTGTAGTTCCAGCTACGTGGAAGGTTGAGGCAGAAGGATCGCCTGAGCCCAGCAGGTTGACGCTGGGATGGCTATGAGCGTGCCACTGCACTCCAGCCCAGGCAACAGAGTGAGACTCCAACTCAAAAAAAAAAAAATAGAGGGTCATGAGAGCTATAGTTGGCCAAGTGAAGGGAGAAGGTCAGAGTAAGCTCTCAACAGGCAGGTGGGAGCTGATTGATTTCTTGAATTGACTTGAAGCACAAAAAAAAGGTCATGGGAGGTCAGGGCATGTGGAGTCTCACTAACCGTATGTCTTCTATCCCCAGTGGGTGGCCGTGTAGACTTTGATGACTTTGTGGAGCTGATGGCTCCCAAACTGCTTGAAGAAACTGCTGGGATGATAGGTGTTCAGGAGATGCGAGATGCTTTCAAGGAGGTGAGTTAAGAGCGTCGTGGTGGCTGAGTGTGGTGGCTCACACCTGTCGTCCCAGCACTTTGGGAGGCAGAGGTGAGAGGATTGCCTGAGTCTAAGGGTTCGAGCCCAGCTTGGGCAATGTGGCAAGATCTCTTCTCTACAGTAAATCAAAAAATTAACCAGGCGTGGTGGCACATGCCTGTGGTTCCAGCTACTTAGAAGGCTGAGGTGGAAGGATTACCAAGAATAGGCTGTGGTGGCCGTGACAACCTGGGTGTCAGAGCAAGACTCCTACTCAAGAAAAAAAAAGTGTGTCATGATGCTGGTGGTTGTTGAGTGAGACCCCAGAGGTCTATAATTAGTCATGACCATGGACAGTGCCCATCAAAGCTTTTTTTCCTTCCCTAGCCATGGTGGATGGACAGGGAAGGAAAATAACATATTTCAAACACTTGCAATGGATCAAGGTCTCTACTTCATTTATCTGATTTAATCCTCACAAAAAACATAAGGCATATGCAGTCATTTATCGTGTTATACAGATAAGAAGACTGAGGTTCATGAAGATTACAAAACTTATCCGGTATCCTGTAATTCCAAAGCAAAGGTTAAGTCCTCCACTCCTAGTGCCCGTAATAGGAAGAAGGAATCCAAGAATTCGAGATCCCAGAAGGGAACTTGAGGGCATCCACTTGCTGTAGAGATGCTAAAAATGTAGAACCTGGCAAGGGTAAGGGACTTGCTTATATTCCCTGATAAAAGACTTCCTCATCAGAGAGCTTCCAACCACACAAGGCGAAAGTAAAGAATAGTACTTGGAAGCATAGACTTGGGAACCAGGCAAACCTGGGTTCAAATTCCAGGACATCGCTACCTCCTACTGTGAGATCTTCTCTCTCAGCTTCTTATGAAGATCTATAGCTGCACCATCCAACAGAATTTTCTGTGACCACAGAAATGCTCTGTCCACATCAGTAGCCATGGGCTACCTGGAGCAACTAGCCCTTGAAATGGGAACCACAATTTTAAAAAAATATTTAATTTTAAATATGTGGAGTACAATTCAGGGTTAGGTATATAAATGTCCATTATGCCGGTACCCTTATTGATGAGGTGTGCCCCCTCCCCTGGCAGTTTCCTACTACTGCCATTCCTGTCACCTCTCCCCTGGCAGTTTCCCACTACTGCCAATCCCTTTCTTACAGTATTGCAATAATTGTTCAAGGTCTGCTCTTGAGTGAAAACATGTGATACTCGGTTCTTTGTTTCTGTGACAGATGACTCAGTATTATAACCTCTAAGTCCATTCGAGTTTCTGTGAACTTCGTAATTTTGTCCTTCTTTATGGCTGTGTAATGTTCCATCATGTATATGTACCACATCTTTTTTATCTAGTCCTCTTTCAATAGGTAGCACGGTTGGCTCCATGTTTTTGCTACTGTAAATAATACTGCAATAAGCATACTTATGCAGGTATCTTTTTCATAGAGTGATTTGAGTCCGAGTATATTCCCAGTAGGGGGATTATGGGGTCGTATGGGAGGTTGATTTTTAGATCTTTTAGGAATTGCTACACTGTTTTCCACAGAGGCTATACTAGTTTACACTCCACCAGCAGTGTAGAAGTGGGAACCACAGTTTCAATTGTATTTAATTCAAATGTAATCCAATTAAAGTATTTAATTTCCATTTGTATTCCATTGGATTTAAGTCCAAGTATTTAAATACAATTTATTAAAATTTAAAAATAAATACTTGATTCAGTTATTGAAAAGCCAATCCCAGTGCCCATCGGAAGTGGACTGGATACATGTCCTTTGCAGCTATGAGGATGCAGCTGGAGGCCGTCATCCTAAGTGAATTATCACAGAAACAAAGCATGCCATACCGTATGTTCTCACTCATAAGCAGGCCCGGATCACCAGTCACACGAGCACAAAGGTGGGAACAACAGATTGCTGGACACCACTAGGGGAGGGAGGGAGGGAGGGATGATAAAAAGCACACAACAACACACTGGGTGCCAGGTCCACTGTCAGGGGCAGAGAGCACCCACTGGAAGCCCAAACCTCACCTGCATGCGATCCTCACATGGACCCCACAACTAAAATAAAATAAAACCATTGAAAAGCTTTTATCTGGAACCATTTGCATACGTGAGTTTACTTTTTCAACTATAAATCTTACAGAAATCAAGCATTTCTGAAAAAAATTGAGTGCCTTAATAGAGAAGTGATGTAAGTATAAAATAAATATACACTGGATTAAGAGCTAATATGTTTATTATAATTAGTGTAAGTATACTTGTATATGCAAGTCGACGTATATACCAAGTATGTTGACTAAGTATGTTAAGCTCATACTAAGAATTTAGTAGGCCAGTATGCTGTCTTATGAAATCCAGTGTGCATTTAGAATGTAACATAGCTTATTAACAATTTGGGATTAAATAAAATTGATTTTGTTTGTTTGTTTGTTTGTTTGTTTTTGAGTTGGAGTCTCACTCTGTCGCCCAGCCTGGAGTGCAGTGGCTGCTCCTGGCCACCGCAGCCTCGACCTGCTGGGCTCCGGTGATTCTTCCGCCTCAGCCTTCCAAGTAGCCGGAATTACAGGCACACGCTACCACGCCCAGTTAATTTTTTGATTTTATTGTAGAGATGAGGTCTTGCCTGCCCAGGCGGGTCTCGAACCTGCGGGCTCGGGCAATCCACTCACCTCAGCCTCCCAAAGGCACGGGATTACAGGCTGAGCCACCGAGTCCGGCTAAATTGATTTTTTTTTACCTTTTTGAACAAACTTTTATTAACTTTACCTCATTTCATGGACTCAACATTTTCTTCTCTTGAGTTCACACATTAGACTTGGATTTATCTATAGAATCTGGTACATAAATCAAATCTGAATTTATATATGTTTCAATAGTTAACATGAAAGAGCAATGAGCTAGTTAGCATGACATCTTTGTACATTTAAGATTGACACCCAACATTTCTTGGACTTTAATGTGTTTCAAACACACTCCTGTCACAGTGCTTTTTCAGATATATCTAACTTATAGGTAAAAGGATTAATTGAGGAGATAATATGAGAAAAAGAAGCATCCTCCTGCTATGCTTTCCCATTCCGTGTCTCAGAATCCCAGAAAGGATGTCATCCTAGAGAGGCTGAGTATACTTGTACAACATAGACTTTACAAGCAATCTAAAAAGTTTTTCTCAAAGGTATCTTACAATAGCACCTAGATAGTGTTAGATGAGGAAGGGAGGAGTTTTAGCTTGTTTAGTCACAGAAATGGATGAAATGAAATTGACTTTTTTTTTTTTTGGAGTTGGGATCTCACTCTGTCGGCCGGACTGGAGTGCAGTGGCCACTCCCGGCCACCGCAACCTCTACCTGCTGGGCTCCGGCGATCCTTCCGCCTCTGCCTTCCAAGTGGCTGGAACTACAGGCGCGCGCTACCACGCCCGGCTAATTTTTTGATTTATTGTAGAGATGAGGTCTCTCCAAGTTGCCCGGGCAGGTCTCAAACCCGCGGGCTCAGGCAATCCACTTACCTCAGCCTCCCAAAAGCGCGAGATTACAGGCTGAGCCACCAAGCCCGGTTGACTATTAAAAATTAATTTAACTTGTTTCTTTTTTTTTTTGCCTTGCATAGTTGAAAGCTCTCTGCATGAGGAAGTATTTTATCAGGGGCTATAAGTAAGTCCCTTGCCTATCTTTTGGGACGCCCTGCTCTAGGGAAATCGCATTCCAGGCCGGGGAAGTTGCGAGCTTACCAATGCTGCAAGGCAAAAAGGTATATCTGAGGAAGAGGAAGAAGCCAGGAATGGGTTGGAATGAGACCAGCCTGAAATAGATGAGGTCTCAGAATTTAGAGACCAGCATGAAATAAATGAGGTCTCAGAGTTGCGGAAGGCAGGGAAGGCCCAGTCACATAGGGGCTTGTGCATTGTGGGTCGATGTCACGATTATCTTCTGAGTAAGATGGGAAGCCACCAGAGGATTTTAAGCAGGAGAGTGACAAGCTCTAATTTACCGTTTTCCTTTTTCTAAATTTTTTAGTTTCAAGGGATACATGTGCAGGTTTGTTACATGGATATATTAGGTGATGGCGAGATTCAGGCATCTAGTAAGCCCATCCTCCAAATGGCATTCATGGTACCCAATCGGTAGTTTTTCAGCCCTTGCCCCTCTCCCTCCCCCCCCTTTAAAGTGTCTGCTGTTCCCATCTTTTTGTCTGTGTGTACCAGCATTTAATTCCCACGTGTAAGTGAGAACATGTGATATGTTTTCCGTCTTCGTGTTAATTCGCTTAGAATACTGGCCTCCAGCTGCATCAACGTTGCTGCAAAGGACGTGATTTTGTTCCTCTTTATGGCTGTGTAGTATTCCATAGTGTATTTTTTTTTCCCCATGGTGCATGTTATATGTACCACATTTTCTTTATCTAGCCCACTATGGGCACCCAGGTTGGTTCATGGTTCTGCTATTGTGAACGGTGCTGCCATAAACATAAAACTCCAGGTGTCTTTTTGTAGAGGGACTTGCACTCCTTTGGGTATATACCCAGTGGTGGCACTGACGCGTCAAATGGTAAATCTATTTTTAGTTATTTGAGAAATCTCTAAACTGCTTCCCACAGGGGCTGAATTAACTTACATTCCCCACCAACAGTGTAATAGTGTTCCCTTTTTTCCACAGCCTCACCCATATCCGTTATTTTTTTACCTTTTAATAAGAGCCATTCTGACTGGTGTGAGATATATCTCACTGTGGTTTTGATTTGCATTTCTCTGATGATTAGTGATGTTGAGCATTTTCTCAAATGTTCATTGACCACTTATGTATCTTTTTTAGAGAAGTGTCTCTCTGTGTCCTTTACCCAGTTTTTAATGGAGTTATTTGGTTTTTTCTTGTCAACTCATTTAAGTTTCCTATAGAGTCTGGATAATAGGCCCTTGTTGGTAGTTTGCAGATATTTTCTCCCATTCTTCATGTTGTCTATTTACTCTGATGATGGT